CGGCACAATTTGAAAGATAGAGACCACACAGATACAGTGTGGCATCTCATCATCACAGGACAAACACTATTAGATTTCATCCTACTCCAGAGGCAGAGAAGGCAAAACGTAAACACTTCTGAAGTCAACTCCTGATTATCCACATTTACAGAAGGAAAGAACAAAGGCAAGGGTAATCTAAGAGTAGATAGATGGAAGATGCTGGAGTTGGCTTTGGAATGTACTTACTCTTGAATACATGTGTATCTAACATTCAAGGAACGCACAAATCTCCTATGAATAGGAGAGTCATGCATAGTTATAAATCTCTGGAAGTTTGAAACCTTTTCACCATTTGATTAGAGCACCTTTCTGAAAGCATAGAAAATTAAGTGATAATCTCAAGACACATTCTTAGATTGGCGACTAAAGATCTATGGGTCCTACTAGACAAGCCTATAACTGTGCAAAATGTAATTTTGGAATTTGGCATAAAAGCGTGGCATGAACAAATAACCCAGTCCACAGCTGGGAATATTGGCAAATGATTTTGAAATGTTCTACTGAGCACTGGCAATTCTCTTTCAAATGCTGTAAGTGATCTCTTCTTGGTTCAGTTGTCTCTCTTGTTAACCTTAATTTTTTCACTACCTCTCTGTTCCTTTCAATAAATTCAGCTTTCTTATTCTCATCTTTATTACACCGAGCAATTTCTTCATTTCTCCCCCAAGGTCTGCTGATTCAATTTCACAAGCCATCTTCTGAACGTTGCTCTAGATGTTTTTGTAGGAAACTTCTGCCCATGAAAGTTTCAAATAAAATCTCATCCCCACTGAAGTCAGAAACTCATGCTGCTAAACTCCTTAAGTGAACCCTCAGTATGTGCAGTTGGATGGATATCACAAGCTTCCAGGGCAGAATAAAAGACCTTAGGCACTCCTTGTTCATAATGCCAAATGACACGACCCTTCCCACAAGCCTTTCACAATCTATAACCCAAGGTTCACAAGCAAAGAATGAGTCAAGTCCCTCCATTTTACGATTCCCATGTGTCCAGAATTGGTTTAATACAATAGAGCATGTAAACAGCATGTGCTTCAGAGTCGTCAAACTGGATTTGGATCCCAGTTTCACTGCTTACTAACTATGTAATTTTTGGCAAGGTTCCTAAACTCCTCTGACCTTACCTCTCTTTCTCCATCTGTGAAATGGGGGATACAGATAGTAACTATCTCTTAGGGGTACTGTGAAAATTAAAAGAGAAAATGTAGGTAGGAGGCTTGGCACATGGTGTTCAACAAATATTTGCTATTATTAATAAAATCTCTTGAACTTACACTAACAAGCCGATTCGAATTTCTTAGTCTTTAGCACTACTGCTTAGATGTCAATACTGAACCAATAGCTCAATGTGATTTCCATCTTGTCAAAATTGAATTAAGTTTCCCACCGTTGATTTAAATTTCCAGGGGCATCTTCCCCCCCTTAAGTTGAGGAACTAATGTGAAATTTATGGCCAATTTTAGCCTGAGTGATCATACTCTGCCCATCTGAAATAAAACTCTTTCTTGATGTTGGAGATTGCATATCTATATTATATAATAGTCTGTTCAGACTTAAAGTGTTGACCAGTGCGGCTAGGCACTATTGAATTGAGCAGAGGGGGACAGGGGGTTATTATGGCAGGAAGAGAAATGAATAGTACTTAATGAACTTGCATTTCAATTGAGCAGGGTTTTTAATAAAAAAAAAAAAAAAGCTTTTTATAAATTCTTTTGCTCAGCAACAATAAAAAAAGGAAAAGAGCACTCAACTGGGAACAATAGCTGCTCAGCTCATAAAAATCATTAGAAGGAACATTTTCTTTGTCGACCATGCCCAGCAATTTTACTGGTGGGCAATGATCCAAATCACTTAGATTCTACCTAAAAAAATGAGTCCAGAGAACTTCTCAACTTTTCCAGCTAATAAGTTAAAATTCTAATTTCCTAATGTGTATAACTCTGCCATAAATAAAATTCAGCTCGTAATTGACGGAATGCTTTTGACAAGTAGATGATACTGACCTAGCGTTAACGGGATATGCTCTTTGGGTTGCCTTTCTGTTAGGAGGGAAGCACAATGCTGACACATTCACTTTGCTACCATCAAATCCTCCTTGGAGCCAGAGGCCTTTAAGGAGGTGACTGTGGGCAAGGGGCTGAGTGCCTGTGGATGGCGTGGTTGCCAAAGTGCAAAATGAGCCGATCTACTTAGATATTTAACTTTGCACCACGGCCCCTGTAGTTCATTCTAAGTGAGTTGAGTCAGGGAAACTTCAGTATTTTTGACATTAAGGGCCTAGCTGATTCAACTTCTCCTACGTATGTCATTAAACCACCTTAAGCTAATTGCCAAATGTGTCGGAAATATGTCATTAAAGGCTCTTTTCTGTGTTCAAGGTTCCCCATGACAACAAAAGAATTTCTGTCCTTGGATATGATACGTTATTACTAATGACCATGCTGGTCATCACAAGCATGACTGGTAATACGGCTGTTAATATTTCTTATTTCAAAAGTATCAGGCAAAAAAAAAAAGTTATCTGTTTTTAAGAATCTGTTTTTCTATTTAGTTTGAGCATATTACACATTTTTTTTTTCAACGTTTATTTATTTTTGGGACAGAGAGAGACAGAGCATGAACGGGGGAGGGGCAGAGAGAGAGGGAGACACAGAATCGGAAACAGGCTCCAGGCTCCGAGCCATCAGCCCAGAGCCCGACGCGGGGCTCGAACTCACAGACCGCGAGATCGTGACCTGGCTGAAGTCGGACGCTTAACCGACTGCGCCACCCAGGCGCCCCGAGCATATTACACATTTTAAGAATAAATGTATTTTATAACTTTACTGCCTCACATAATTTTCAAACCAAATAAAGGAAATGGTATGAAGACTAAAACAATGTCTTCCAAAATCACCATACTTTTTTTTTCCTTACTAGACTTCTCTCCACTTTTGACTTTAGGCTGGAGATTGCACCACCAATTAGAGTCTAAGTGGCATTCTATGCTCCCTTTAATTAACTGTCCATTTGACTTACACTTTCTCTGGAATCTGGGAAGTAATTGTTTTTTTTTTTAAAAGGTCTTTCCTGCTTCCTCAGATTGCATCTAAGATGTAAGAATAAACAGAAACTGCAGTATCAACAAAGAACCTAATTAAGAAGAATATGCAATGACAGCAAATATGTAAAAGCCATCTTTACTGAGGATAAGTGACGATTCAAATAAGCTTTTTAGATAATAAGGAGTTGAGGGTGGGTAGCTTTTAAAATTCTATTCCGTAAGTACAATGCCATTTGCAGAATGACTACTAAATTAATATCTACCTAAAGTAGTAGTTGTGTCATCGGAAACTACTCTAGCTAGTTTACTTGAGTTCTACACTCCTGACATTTTGAAAGCAATGCCTTAACTGACTTGAGTAAGGAGAGGAAAATCTAAACCCTGCCCTGCTACATATTAAAAATGGCCACTATGGGGCGCCTGGGTGGCTCAGTCAGTTAGGTGGCCGACTTCGGCTAAGGTCATGATCTCGCGGTCTAGGAGTTTGAGCCCCGCGTCGGGCTCTGTGCTGACAGCTCAGAGCCTGGAGCCTGTTTCAGATTCTGTGTCTCCCTCTCTCTGACCCTCCCCCGTTCATGCTCTGTCTCTGTCTCAAAAATAAATAAACGTTAAAAAAAAATTTATTTAAAAAATGGCCACTAATCCTCTAATTCTTTCACTATCCTCTCTATCCTCTCCCTTTGAGTCTTGGCATTCTCTGTGCCTATCGGAACCACTGCCAGTTTTCAGACCCGGCCTGTTTGCAGCTTCTACTTCCTGTCCCTTCACTTTCTTTGTAACACGGCCACCAGAATGTGATGATGCTTCTCTCCACAGCTCCATGGAGAAGCCTATTCGGACAGCAACTGAGGCTCCTGGCTGACTTGTCCTGGAGAACTTCCCAGCCAAAGCCGGTCCTGACTGCCAGCCACATGAAGTGGCTCCTCCAGAGACAGCTGATGCTGCATGGAATAGAGACGAACTGTCCCCACCATGTACCCAAACTGCAGATTCAAGAGTAAAATTAATGATTACTGGAACACACCTTCAAACCTTAATTCAAGGTATTCTGAAAGATTTTAAATTAAATGGGCAGTGAACAAAGCAATAATTCCATTTTTTGAGCATTTGCTATGTGACTAAATGCTTTACATATCCTTATTTCCTACAATAACCTTATTAAATAGGATTATTTTCTCTATTTTATAAATGAGGTCACTATAGACTTGCAGATTAACTGCCCAAGATCACGTAACAGAAGGAGAGTATTCAAAACTGTATCTTGTCAGACTCTTAGGCACATGCTTAGCAGGAAAATGGGATGAAGGAAATTCCAAGCTAATGCTACAGGCTCAAATTCTCATAAAATACAGTATGGATTAGAAAACAGCATGTCAATTAAAACGTATATCCTGAGGGGCGCCTGTGTGGCTCAGTTGGTTGGGCGTTCGACTTCGGCTCACGTCACGATCTCCCAGTTGGTGGGTTCGAGCCCCGCACTGAGCTCTGTGCTGACAGCTCAGAGCCTGAAGCCTGCTTCAAATTCTGTGTCTCCTCCTCTCTTTGCCCCTCCCATGCTCATGCTCTGTCTCGCTCTGTCTCTCAATAATAAATGTTAAAAAAAATAATTTTTTTTAAAAAAGTGTGTCCTGAGAACACCCCAATATTGCTTAAGATAACTTTTAAAATTAGTGGTAGCATTTTTTAAAACACACTATTTGGAAAACAACATTTTCTCAGTGCTCACAACTTCGTATCTGCTGTGTGCAAGTGCTCCATACTAAACAGAGGTTATGAAGATGAACGACAAGATTCTTGCTCCAATGGTTCTTGCATTTTTGAGAAATAAGGCATGTTACACAAAGAGTTTTTTTCCACAAGGTACCAAGTTGTAACTATCATGAGTGAGGAATAAAGTGCTATGGGAATTTATTCATTCATTCAACAAATATTTATTGAATGCCAACGCAGCAGTGAACAGATAGATATGGTCCCTGCTCTCAGAGAACTGGCAACTCATGGTATTACTTTTGCTGGAAACGCCAGAAAGACAGGGATACATTTTAGCCTGGCCTTGAATATTCCTGGGCTTTTGGCAGGTGCAGATGCAGGGATCAGGGCATTCAAGGTAGAGGGATAACAATGACCAGAAAAACGAAAAACCCTAATGCACAAGAAAATTAGGACATCCATGGGGACTTTAAAGTGAGAACAATATTTTAGTGATCCTAAGATTCAACTGATATTCAGTGAGATCATTATTTTATGTACCAAAGGAAAAAGTACTTAAAATTTACAGCAGTGGCTCTCAACCAGGGGCGATTTTCCCTCCAAGGGACATTTGGCAATGTCTGCAAACATTTCTGGTTGTCACCCTGAGGGGGTGCTATTGGCCTTTAGCAGTTAAGGGCAGGGATGTTGTTAATTATCCCACAATGCACAGGAGAGAGGAATTACTCAACTCAAGATGTCAATATTGCGAATATTGAGAGCCATCAAACTATAAAGGATGTCATAAATTGAGAGATGCAACTAGAATATTAAAAAAGTATTTGAAGACAGATGAAGTATAGTGGCTCAGTTTACCTGGGATGACCCAGGATTTATAAAGGATTACAGGAAAATATTGCTGGTACCCTGTATCTGAATCCGTTTTCTCAACTTTGGGTAGCAAAGTGATGATGACTGGGGCTCTATGAGATAATAATTCCATGCAGTATAAAAGGCTGGCCCTTCATGATCATGCATCCATCTAATTGCTTTTGAGAAACCTTGTACTGCAATCATACTAATAAATCTTATTTCTACTAATTGTGACTGATCTCAGGGGAAACAACACTGACTCACCAATCATGTGGTATATTTCTTACTAATTGTTTTTAAAGCCCAGCTCTTAAGCCACTTATTCTCTGAGGCTCCTCCTTATGCTCTCAGCTTAAAATATTCTCTTTTTCTTTGAACTTCTTTAGCATATCACCTGTACTTCCCTAATAGTGTTCCTGTGATTTATCTTTCCTCTAAATATAACTTTTGGGGGGGGTCAAGATCCATGGTTAGTTCACACCTGTAACTCTCAGAGGACCCACTATAGTGCCTTCACATCATAGGTGGTCAATAAATACTTGCAAAGTGAAGAATTGAATAAATATACAGTACTGGAAGGCTATAATTAAAGACAAATTCCTCAGACTTTTCCTACGTCTTTTCAGCCTTTCCTCACAGGGCTCATTTTGCAAATCTTTAATCATTTTAGTAGCTCTCCAAGTTCTCATGCTTCACTTATAGGGTCTTAGAGAGAACAGAGTTCTTTAACAAGTCCTAACCACTACTTTACAAAACACCATTTAGTAAATTCGATGGGAGTTTCCGATCATTTCCCCATGGGATGGCAGTCAGTGTTTGATCTTAAAACATGTAAAGCACCTTACACAGGCAGAGTACTAAAGTCCTCTGAGGAAACAAGGGACAATGTGAATATAAATAGAAGCAGTAAGAAAATCTCTACTAATTGCTCACAAATCCCACGTTACTGATGATGACACTTGAGTGAGGGAGGGGAGCCGGGGGACCTTAGGACTAATGAACAAAAATCTTACACTGTGTAACTACCACAGAGAAAGGAGGAAAATAAGCAAAGTGTTCCTTTAAAAGATAATAAACAGATAGATTATTAATATTTTATTATTATATACCTTAATATTGAAATAAATGATTGTGGTCAATACATGTACGGAAATTGTGAAGGTCGTGGCTTAGATTAATTTGCAGGACTTTCTTGCTTTAAATTCCCCCTTCTCTTCCTTCAGAGTGCTTCTTGGGCATCAATCAATGTTTGGTGGTTGCTTCCAGCAAGTCTTTTGCTTCATTTATTTTGGTTGCTAAGTAAGGAGATCCACCTAGGAGGACAAAGAAAAAACAAATGGATTAAAACTTCATCACTGACATTTTTAAAAGTCTCAAATAAAGAAAAACACTCGTAATTGGAATCCTCTGATATTTTCCCACACATTCATCCTGTTGACAAATTATTTTACAAGCTAAGTAGAAATCATAACAGCATAAATTAAATTTGTTTAGTGAAGCACTACAGATACCCAACAATCAAAGATAACCTCTGAGGAAAATAATGAAAGAAAGCTATGATCAGGAATAATTTGAAAAACACTCAAACATTTCATTGGTCAGACACTGCCATTCAAATATTTGATCACAGAATTTTCTGAAATTAAGTGGATGGTTAGGTAAATACAATAATGGTCTCTCTCCAAGACTTTTTTTCTGTAAAGACAAGAATATTCATCTATGAAGGAGGGTATCTTTCTGAAGGAGGTAAAGCAATCCACAGGAACTTTCAGAGATGTATCAAACCATACATTTCCACAAAAATGAAAAACATGTTAGAAAATCAACTATGTACTATCCAATCCTAAAAATCATATTTACTAATGTAGATGAATGAACTAATAAATGAGTGGTAATAAAAATAATGTTTAAAGGAAATGCTCTCTGTTCTCCAAAATAATCCTATTAGGATACTTATGTATACTTGAGTAGTCTTAGATTCACTGTACCCTAAAATAAAATTACATCAGTTCTTTTTTTTAGAAGTCTTTCTAATGCAAATAGTAAGAAGGAAATTGAGCTGATTTTCAAACTCAGAATCATTATAAATCACAAACAGAACCTAACTGACATACAAAAATACTAGCCCCAAACAGTCACATTAGGCTATTTAAGCATTATATGCCTTCTCATTTCTACCCCTGAACATTTTTACTGCTTAACGCTTGAGCTAACAATCATATTATGGTTCACCTATCTCTCTGTTTGTTTTTATTTTTTTACTCTCCCCTTGATTACAAACCATCTATGGCTTTTGAAAACCTCATAAGACCTCACTAGCTTACAAAAAAACAAAATACACCTAGATAGCATTGGTGTGTAAATTGTCCAGGTTTTATCCAAGCCTTTCATTAATATGATACCACCCACTTTATATAGGAATAAAAAAGCAGGGAAACAAATCAACAAACATGGTTATAGCAGAAAGGGCAATGCTGGAGGAAGCTATATTTAGCTTTTTGCCCTTGAGGATAATACTGACATTTTTACATCAAGATTTGAACTGCTATAAACACTTATGGAATATATCAAGGAGTGTCCTTGAATATACAGTAAGAATTACAAGCAACGTTGATGAAAGTTTCCATATGCACTTGGTTATGAAATAAACTGATTTCATGATTATCTTTGAAAATGATCTTAACTTAGGTAATGTCAATCTTGGAAAGCTGTTTAAATGTTTAGAGTTACCAAGGCAATGCCAGGCATTCTGCATGTCCTCAACAAATATTAAAATATTAATTGAATTCAAATATAACCTGTAATTGATTGATATGCACTCTGGATATTGAAATCGTAACATGCTCATTTAGCAATTAGCAGACAGAAAAAAGCCCACACTGGGCTCTGCACAGGGCGTGGAGCCTACTTAAAAACAAATTGAAACTTTCCCCTTATCTCACACCATATACAAAAATTGATTCCAGTTTATTACAAATACAATTATGTCAGGTAAAAGATTTCAGAAATTATCTTCATGACCTTGAGACAGGCAAAAATTTCGTAAACAGATAAAAAATGCACTAGGTATAAAGGAAAAATCTGACAAACTGGACTTTATTAACATTGATATTTTTTTCTTAAGTTTATTTAATTATTTTGAGAGAGAGAGAATGTGTGCAGGTGTGCATGAGTTGGGGAGGGACAGAGAGAGAGGGAGAGAGAGAATCCCAAGCAGGCTCTGTGGTGTCAGTGCAGAGCCTGACACAGGGCTCAATCTCACAAACCAGGAGATCATGACCTGAGCTGCAATCAAGAGTCAGATGCTTAGCCAACTGAACCACCCACACACCCCTAAAATTAAGAATTTCTGTTCAATGAATGGACACCATTAAGAGGCAAAAGCAAGACACAGAGAGAAGATATTTACAACACAAAAGACTCATGTCTAGAATGTTAGAATATATAATGTTCTCAAACGTCAATAAGAAAAGGAGACAACACAACAAAAAATGAATAAATGGAGAATATATATTTGTACCATGGAATACTATACAGCAATACAAATGAATGAATCATTTCTATAACATTCACTGCTACATAAATGAATCTCACAAAGATAATAAATGAAAGAAGATGAATACGGAAGACTGCACACTACAGGATTCCACTTACATGACATTCAAAAAAAGGCAAAGCTAATCTATGGCTATAAAAGCCTGACAGTGGTCACCTCTGAAGAGTGGGGAATGACAGGAAAAGTACCTGAGGAGAAATTTGTACGGTTTTATTTCTTAATCTGGGTAATAGCGGCATAAATGAATTCATTTTGTGACAATTCATTGAGTTGTATACTTATCATCTATGTACTTTCATGAATGTATATTTCAATTTTGAAAAGCTTATTGAAAAATTTACTGAGGTATGTCGACCTCCTGCAGTCTGATGACACTACAAATTCATACTGTCCAAAAATCACTAGGTTCAACAAACCTATGATCAAGACCATGATGATGAGGGTAGTGACTAGGCGTTATTTGGTGTTTCCAATTCTATTTTCATAAATTAAAGAGTCTAAATCACAAAACAAAGTGTAGTAAGTTGCCCAACACCAGCCACAGAGTTCATATGAAGTGGAACCAGGATTCCTAGGAAGCCTGGCTCCTGAGCTGCCCATATTCTTCTTTTTTAAAAGATTTTAAAGTAATCTCTCTACCCAATGTGGGGTCAAACTGACAACCCCAAGATCAAGAGTCATACACTCCACTGGGCCAGCCAGGTACCCCAAGATGGCAATCTTCTTGATCACCATACCACACCATTTTGTTTACAAGATTTCTTGGGTATTAAATTCCTATCGTATCGAACATGTTGTTGTAGACCTTTTCTGCTTTCTTCAAGCCCATAATCCCATCCTAGGCCATCCCCTTCCTTCTAGAGAAGATTGAAATCATGAGTGTGATTTATCATTTGAAGTATATATCTATGTACCCATTAGATAATAAATACCTTGAAGAACAACCTTATATCTCTGTATTATCAACACAGCTCTGAGTACACCGATGGGGCTTGAGGTACTGTTTGTGGAGGAGTAGAAAAAGTGATGACTTACTATCTATTATTTTCTTAAAAGTTTTTCTTTAAGTTTATTTATTTTGAGACAAAGGGACAACAAGGAAGTGACAGAGAGGGGCAGAAAGAGAACCTCAAGCAACCTTCACATTGTCAGCATAGAGCTAGACACGGGGCTCAAACTCACCAACGTGTGAGATCATGACCTGAGCTGAAATCAGGAGTCAAACACTTAACTGACCAAGCCCATCCAGGCACCCCATATTATTTTTCTTGCATCAGGTACCAGCTTCATAGAAGAAAAACCACTCCAAAGACCCAAAGATACGGAAAACAGTAACAAGAGTGTCACGAGTAGGTGCTTTAAAAAATAAATGTCTGCAAAACAGCTGAGTAAGAAATCCTAACAAGTACAAAAGAAAATAAATATTCTATAATTAGTAAGTGTTTCAAAGTTAGGTATAATTATTAATAATTATATATAACTAATAATATTAGTTATAACTTAATAATTATACCTAATTAAGTAGAATAATTGTTACTAATGTGAGTTTCATAATTAGCACACCAATCTGAGGATTAAGAAAATACAAGTTCCCTTATATCCTTGGGCTTTCCTTAGGTAGATCTTTCCATGGGTTTTTACATATTCTTCAACCTTCATTAAAACTTATGAATGTCTACATTCCAAGCCTGTAAGGCAGAAGTAAAAAGTATTACCATCTGCTGATTTGAAGGATCCTTAAAGGCTACCCACAATTCTTAAAAGAAAGATGTTAAAATCATGTGGAGACAGATGGACTTCTGGCACGAGGAGTTCCACTGATCTGCTCCCCAGTGGAACTGGTGAAAACTATGTAAATAACCCCAGCCACTTAAAACCTCTGAAAATGGTCTCAAAAGCAAAAGTAAAAAAGAAACATCTATTCAAGAAAATCTATGACAATACAATAGTAAGAAAGGCAGGAAACTGGTATTTGAACCAAAACAGCTTCCCTCCTCTCCTCTCGGCTCAGCCAGACAAACACTTCTGCTGGATTGATGCAGCCAAAAACACAGGGCTCCCCTCTCTCCCTACCTCCTGGACAAAGGGTTTTCTTTCTGGGAGGATCATGATCTCCATTATTTCTCTTCCTTCCCCCAGCTGCCTGCTGGTGAGGCTGAGTGCTAAGCAAGCACTAAGCAATACAGAAGCTCTACCTTAAGCGTGGCTCCTTTAGAATACTGGGCCTCAAGAGTCCTTCTCCAGTCCATAAAGCATGGTGGTTCCACACAAGAGAGGCAAGCCAAGAAGACCTCAGGCTACTGCTCCCTGTGTTGCATGCTTAGATCCCACAGCGGGGGTTTCATTTGGAGAGAAGACTGCCATAGTTCCCAGTCTCAACTCCAGAGCCCTGGCAGATATTTTTCCTATGAAGTAAACAGGTCATGAAACAGAGAGCCCCAAACCTCTTTCCAAAGGAACTGACTTCATTCACAACAGAGCATGGAGGGTGCTCTCAAGGACAGTACAGGGAGGGACAGCAGAGGTTCTGAAAAGCAACTGGGAGAAGATTCATGAATCTAGTGAACATACACAGTGACTGTATGTTCACAGGACAGAAACAGGGAACAAACAGCAGAGAGGAGCCCTCCTGGGTTCAGAACAAACATCAGACACTGACTCCAGAAACCGTTTCATCAAAGGTGCAACTATTTGATTGTATTCATTCGTAGAGAAATTTGTGTCCCAGGGCATTGTTGAGAACAACTGAGCAACTGG